TGAGGTGAAGCAGCCGCTAGACACTGTAACTCCTCCTGTCTGTCCTCTAGGACGTCCGTGCCAAGAGCACACTCACCCCCGACGGACGGAGGACAGACAGACGCAGACTCAGCAACAAGACCAGCAGCGTAGTCGAGACGACAGCGAGCAGCAAAGTCAACGAGCTCAGCGACTAGAGCAGACGCAGCAGTGGACTCAAAAGAGGGGTCAGTGACGACAGTAGCAAGCAGACGCGTGACAGTAGGACTGGCAGCGCGAAGAGAGTCTGACTCAGGGTCGGCAAGCGCAGGAAGAGAGGACTCAGGAGGAGAAGGCAGAGGGGCACGCAGAGGAGCAGTGGACGGACGCAGAGACATCCGGTGCGTGCCAGGGACAGGAGGAGGACGCTGACGCGAACCGCGACCACTAGCGCGAGCAGCACGAACAGGCGACGCGGGACGAGACGCAGGCTCACGACGCTCAGCAAGACCTCCAGTAGGACCTGTGTAAGGAGAGGGAGCAGGCAGAGGAGAGGAAGGCTCCAACAGTGACTGCGACTGGACAGGCTGTGGACACTCTACCGAAGGAGAAAGACCAAGAACCTGCTGTAGGAGTGGAACGAAGTACGGCCGAGGCCGCGCGGCAGCTCCAGACTCAGCAGGGACAGCACCAGCACCCTCAGCGACAGCACCAGCGCCACCCACACCTCCAGCGGCAGGACCAACAGCAGTAGGCTCAGCACCAACGCCCTCAGCACCTCCAGCTGCAGGAGGACCCTCAGGTCCAGCAGCTCCGGGACCGGCAGCACCCGCACCCTCGACGGTCGAAGAAGCTCCAGCTCCAGCTCCAGCAGCACCTCCAGACTCAGCAGCACGCCTCCAGCGGCGAGCGTACCACTCGCGCAGCTCCTGTGGAGAGAGGGGCTCCCGGCGAGACGCAGCAGCAGGAGAAACCCCAGGCTCAGCAGCTCCAGACGCAGCAGGGACAGCACCAGCACCCTCAGCCTCAGCAGCTCCCGACCCAGCACCCCCAGACCCAGTACCTCCAGGCACAGCACCCCCCGGCTCAGCACCCCCAGGCTCCGCACCCACCGCAGTAGCACCCTCAGGCCCAGCACCCCCAGCAGTAGCACCCCCAGGCTCAGCACCCCCGCGCACAGTACCCCCAGAGTCAGCACCCCCAGGCTCAGCACCCGCAGCAGCACCAGAGTCACCAGTAACCTCGACCGGGTCAACGGGGTCTACCTGGGACACACCTGAGGGGGCAGGAACCTGAGGGGGGAGGGGGTCTACCGGGGGGGGAACCGGCACAAGGAAGTCCGGGGGAGGGGGGAGGGAAGGAGTGCGGTAGGGGAAGAGACGGTAGAAGGGGACTGACTCATCGAACGTGACGTCCTGGGAGGACAGAACACGACGAGAGGAGGGGTGGTAAAACTGCCACCCTGGGGCGTCAGTGGGGAAGCCAAGGAAGACACAGGGAGCAGCACGAGGGGACAGCTTGTCCGCAGACAAGTCGCGGACAAACGCCCGAGATCCCCAGACACGGAACACAGACGCATCGCCAACCTTCCCCGTCCACAGCAAGACTGGGGACATCGCAGGTCGAGAGACCCGGGGGTGAAGGTTGAGCTGATGCGCCGCGTACCTCACCGCAAACGGCCACAGAAAATGGGGGGCAGCCGCATGCATCATGGACGTACGAGCGACATCCATGACCATGCCAATGCGGCGCTCAGCAATCCCATTTTGCTGTGGTGAGTCCGGAAGCGTGAAGGTCTGGCGGATCCCCCGTGCACGACAGTAGTCTCGCAGAAGGCGGGAAGAGAACTCTCCGCCTCTGTCAGAGTGCAGACGCAGAACAGGAAAGTCCGAGCCGAAGCTCTTCCTGAGCTGGAGACGAGCCTCGCGGATCCAGTCGATCAGCACCACAGTGACCTCACCCTTGCTGCGCAAGGGGAAGACTGTGGTGTAACGCGAGTAGTCGTCAACCACCAACAGGAAGTAGCGCTCGTAACCCTGCCCACGGACGGGGGCTGGGCCCCACACATCCATGTGAAGCGTCTGCAGGGGAGCCTCTGTCGGGGGGAAGTGGGAGGAGTGAGGAGTAGCCCGGAGGCGACCCTCGACACAAGGGACACAGGAAGGTCCTGGCCCGGAGGGGGAGAGGAGGGAGAGACTGGGGAAGACCAGAGACAAGGACACGGGAAGCCATGCTCCGAAGACGGGGCAAGGAGGGGTGGCCAAGACGGTGGTGCCACAGGAGAGTCTCGTGAGACAGGAGGCGACAAGTACAGGGGGCAGACTCAGGACCAGACCTGGACGCAGCAGCAAACACCTGACCCGACGCTGCTACCTGACCGGACGCGGGGACAGGAGGAGACTCAGTGGTCAGGGTGTAGAGGCTCGACCCCGGCCGACGCGAGAACGTGGCCAGGTGCCGGCCTGTGCGTGCGTCCGTGCAGTGGGTCACCCGCTGACTCGCAGGAGTGAACTGGTGAACCCCCGCATCCTGTAGGTCTGCACCACTCACCAAGTTCGTCGAGAACGAGGGGAGGTACAGGCCAGACAGGGTGCCCGAGGGGGCAGCCGGACACGGGAGGACAGTGGAGAAGTGAGCGAGGACAGGACCCCCAGAGGGGTCAGCCAGGGAGACTGCAACCGGCCGACCAAGCGGCGTGAGTGTGGTGCGGTCCCGAAAGAAGGAGCGAGAAGCCCCAGAGTCAAGTGTAAAGGTGAGGGAGGCCGAAGCCAACGCGGTACCTGAGAGCGCAGTCTCACCCGCACCTGAGGAAGCAGACTCACTAGCACCTAGAGCAGCAGCCGTACCTGTACCTGGAGCAGGAGACTCACTAGCACCCAGAGCAGCAGCCTCACCAGTAGCTAGAGCAGCAGGTCCTATACCTGGGTCAGGCGGGACGCACAGGTGACCGGCACGGTCAGTACTAGTAGGCAATGCATACATGGCAGTGAGAATAGCATCATAGTCAAGAGCATATATATCTACCCTCTGCCTAAGCAACTCCACCCAGTCGGGAAGCTCAGCCTCGTCGCCAAACACGGTACGCCAGGCGTCGCTCAGACGGGCGAAGCAGCGGGACGGTGTATGACTACGTGTCCCACAAGGCTGACCAGTCCGAGTACCAGTGCGAATCACGTACGAGCAGCGAACAGCACTGAGAGACCCTCCACTCTGAGCGTACCACTCACGAAGCTGGCGAGGCGTGAGAGACACGGGAGAGGGTCGCGGGAGCTGCATCTGGCCGCCACCACGAGTAGAAGCAGCAGGAGTGGTAGTAGGAGTAGCGTCGCCACCCCTACAGCCCCAACCAGCGTACCACTCACGCAGCTGCTGGGGCGTGAGGGACTCACGCCGGCGTCGCTGGGGCTGCATTTGGCTCCGCAAGTAGAAGCAGGAGCAGGACTAGCAGCAGGGAGGCAGGCAGCCAGGCAAGCCAAAAGGCAGGCAGGCAGGCAAGCAGGCGACGCGCAGTGTGCTAGCAGGGCAAGAGCTCACCAGTGGTGGGAAGAGTAGGCTCGGCGACTCAGCGGCTCGGCAGCTCGGCGGCTCGGCGGCTCGGGCGACTCGGGCGGCTCGGCGGCAACTGCAGCTCAGCAGCTCGGGGACTCGGCGGCTCGGCGGCAGGGCGGCTCGGCAGCAACTGCAGCTCAGCAGCTAAGCGACCCGGCGGCTCGGCTGTGGGGCGGCTCGGCTGCTGCAGGTGAGCGGCTCGGCTGCTGCAGTGGGAGATGAAGGAGGAGGAGAAGCAGGGGAGGCCACACACCTGCCACCCCTCCGCAAGCGGCCCCCTCAGGTCGCCTCGACAGGCGACGGGAAAAGGGGGGGTGGGTGGTGGGGGGCCGGTAGGTGCAGCGGCGGGGCCAGCAGATGCAGTTGCGGGGCCGGTAGAAGGGGGGACGGCAGGAGCCGTCAGGAGGAGACCGGGCCGCGACGGGGGCAGGCGGCGGGGCCGCGTAAGGGCCTGGGCGGGGCCGCGACGAAGCCGTCGGCGGGGCCGCGTGAAAGCCGGGGCGGGGCCGCGTAGAAGCCGGGGCGGGGCCGCGTGAGAGCAGGCGGCGGGGCCGCGAAGGAGCCGGGGCGGGGCCGCGTGAGAGCAGGCGGCGGAGCCGCGTAAGGGCCTGGGCGGGACCGCGACGAAGCCGTCGGCGGGGCCGCGTGAAAGCCGGGGCGGGGCCGCGTAGAAGCCGGGGCGGGGCCGCGCGAGAGCAGGCGGCGAGGCCGCGAAGGAGCCGGGGCGGGGCCGCGTGAGAGCAGGCGGCCGAGCCGCGACAGAGAGGGCGGCGGGGCCGCGTCAGTGAAGGCGGCGGGGCCGCAGGGGAAATGGCGACCCGAGGGGTCGCTAAAAAAAAGGATCGCGCCTCGGGGGGGCGCTTCGGTGGGCCCAAAAAAAAAACCGGTCCGTAGAAGGACCCGCTCTATACCATGTGAGAATAAACGAACAGGGATGAAAATGACTAAGGAAAGATGGGTACAAATACAACCCTAGAAACCCTGTACCCCATATGTGCTACCCCACTATAGCCTACAACAACTATGTCATATAAATCTGACACCATGGCCATGGCCAGATGCTTTAAGCGGCACAATGTGTGTCAATTTCTTCACGGATTTCGATGCGAGTCTACTTAATCGATGCGCGGCTTTAATCTCAACCCAATGGTGTCCTTTTAGTGTTCATTACGGGAACCTAAGCACCTGTTTTTTGAGTTCCAGGCTGTTGATCACAGTACACTCGTATCCTATTCAGGCGACATTACATGGCTGCTATACAAGCTCTATGCATTGGGAGTCTCTGTCCTGGGAACAGTTTTCATGCCTGCTTTATCATCGCGTCAATTTCAAGAGGTCTTCGCTTCATGTTCTCGGTTTCACCAGCCCCTGACTTGTGGTGTTTCATCTTCAAGCATCAGAGATATAAAACATGGCGGCCTACGCGGATTGTGCTCAGATCAGCTGTTTTATCGGCCTTCATCAGGCCGTCTAGCCTCTCTCATCATTGCACCATGGTGAAACCATGCAGCAACAAGAGCAACAAGAAAGGCAATGGCAATGCTCTGGATAAGGAAGAGATCAACGTACCTGACGTACCTGTGAAAGACCTGGCTGGTACCATGAAGTCGCCTGCTGGATCGGCGTCTGCTGCGGTGCTTGGTCCTTTTGAAGATCTCCTTGACCTGCAGAAGAACATCAACAAGGATGCTGAGGAAGATGGAAAGGAGGCTGATGAGAACGGTGCTGATGCCGCTGCTCCTCAGGGACTTGCTGGAGAGCACGAGGCAAGGGAGGAACTTGGTACTGATGACAATGAACAAGATGAAGTGGACGCGTCACCGTCGGAGACTCCTGGCGAGGAGGATGACGGTTATTTGAGTGACGACAGCGACGAACATTTGGAGCCTGACTCGCTTAACTGCGTTATTGCTTTTAAGCGATTTTCACTAACCTTACTGGTGCCAATCAGCAGGAAGACTGAAGTGACGCGCGCTGCTGTCACGGTTGCCGCTCCGCTGGATGATTGGAAGGAGCATATGTCGCCGGATGTGCTCCAGACTACAACTTACCAGGAGCTTACGCCGACTTTTTTCTCTGGCACGCGCTATGGTCGTCTCCAGGTCACGTTCAATCACGTCCGCGATGCAAAATTCGTTTGGAATCAGGTCATCCGTCACAAGTGCGTGAACGGGGACCTCATTGATATCACCTGGCAACATCCGGAGGACGCGCGTTTCCTGCGCGAGCGAGTGCTGAATCCGACGGCCAAGGAGGTTGTGATTAAGGGGGTGCCGGCGGAGATTACGGCGGAACTGATCCGTCGCCTCTTGGTGGTGTCTAAGTTGGTTAAGCGCGGCAGGAGCACCTTTGCCAGTGGTTTTGGTTTTCATCGGACGGTGGATCCAGTGACTGGCCTTGACACTGACCGCATCCGTGGGTTGTTCATTCCTCATGCTGACGACAAGTACCGCTGGAGGTATTTCGTGGAGGATCCGACCACGGGGAAGCGATACCTTCTCCACTTTCCGTTGCTGACCTGTGATTTCTGCGGGGGACAGCACATGACGCGGTACCATGATCATTATGTCACCCCGAGGCAGGAGACCTTCAACAACTGGAACCTAACAGTGAAAAAGGTTCACGAGATGAATGGTATAAGTGGAGGTGTTTCTTCCCAGCAGCCAATGTTTCTTTTACCGTTCTCGCCTCCTTTCTTACCTTTTACTGACGGCTATCTGCCTTTACCTCCTCGCAGCTGCGTCCCTGAAAGTTTCAGATCTCCTGAAACGTATCATACGCGACCTCGCGGTCATTCTCACCTCCACGGGTACTGCGCGGGAAGAGTGGGTCTGCGTCCAGACTGCGTGCGAGAAGGCACAGGGGAACAGCTTCGAGCAGGCATCTGCTCACATCGCGTCTGCTCGGCACAAAGGGGGACTCCGGAAAGATGGATCTGCAACCCGTGTCAGCAAGTTCTCACAGAAGCTACCTGCGTTCAAGAAGGAGTTCATCACAAAGCAGTCGAAGTAGAGTGTACCAGCAGCGGTGACAGTGGAAGGGATGAGGCAGCAAGAGCTGTTGTTGTAGCTGGTTGTGTAGTCGGAGCTATGTTCTCTTTTGCTGTAGCAAGATGTATCGTTGCAATGAAGCTCAATCGCCCGTGGATGCTGTGGGGCTCTTCACCAGTGGTTAATGGATAAGCACAGCAAACTCACCATCCTCGAGCTCAACATCAACGGGCTCGGAAGCAGTGGGAAGCAGGAGAGGTGTGGCAAATGGATTTAGAAAGCAGCACACATCGTGGCACTCACACACACTCGAATACCGGCGGATCACAACTTCTGGACACATGTTAAGGCAGAGGCGCAGGTGGTGGTTGGACTGTCGCAGAGAGCTGGAGGAGTAGCGGTCCTGGGTTTCCTGGAAGGGATGCTTTTTACGGATGCAGTCGTACACGAGTCAGGGCGGTTGTTGAGCCTGGTGGTAACATGGAAGGAGATTAAGTGCAGGATAGTGGCGGCATACCTACCTGCGCAGGCTTCAGTCAGGGGTGTCTTCTTCCGGGAGGTGCTAACGCCTTTTGTGCAGGGCTTGCAGGCGACGCCGCACACAGTCTTCCTCGGTGATCTGAACATAGTAGCAGACCCAGAACTTGACAAGTCTTTGAAGCTGGGTACGCCGGCAGAGAACCAACGGCTTGTGCAGATTTGCTCGAGGTGGGACCTGCAGGACGCTTTCAGGTGCCTGCACCCAACTCGCAAGGAGTTCACTTTCTTCTCCAGATCTGCACAGACCAGCACGAGGATCGACAGGGTGTTAGTGTCTCACTCTCTGCTCGGTTCCGTGGACGAGGCTAAACATAAAATGGTGCCGTACGGTCTCACCGATCACTGGTTTGCGGCGACGGTGACACTCAAGACATCGGCTGGAGACCATGGACCGGGTCTATGGAGACTGCCAGCACCTCATGTTGGAGGGGAAGGGACCAGGAAAATTGTATCGGCGGTACTGGAGTCGCATGCGAGTCAACCGGTCCAGGGCCTGGAGAGGCTTGTGGCTAGCCTGCGCGCGGGAATGAGGGCACATGTAACGGAGGAAAGGAAGCGAGTGAGGGCGACCATGAAACATCTAGAATTGAATGTGGAAGGGCTCAGGTGGAAGGTCATGAACAGCCCATCTGACCAGGACGCCTATGAGGAGTTGATCAAAAACGAGGTGGCTCTAAAGCTATATCAGGACAGCAGTAAAGAGCGCTTGCAGGCCATGACGGGTTTGCTGGCGGAGGTGGCTGGGGAGACGCCGTCGGCTTTCCTCTCAGGCCTGCTCAAGTCGAGGAAGGCAAAGACTGCAATCAGCGAACTGTTTTTCAAAGGGACCGCAAGGAGGGGTGCGAGGGAAGTACTGCTCGCGGCTTCAGAACACTTCCGTGATGCGTATGTGGACCTACCGTTGCATCTCATCTCGGACCCATGGCCGATCGATAAAGAGAGGAGGCTTCGGGATGATGACCGTTCTCAACTCGGAGGAGAATGGTCGGAGCAGGAGGTGAAGGCTGCGCTTAAAGGACTCCCGGTGGGGAAGGCGCCTGGGGAAGACGGCCTGCCAAAGGAGTTCTTCGAGCGCAACTGGGAGCTTCTCGGCGAGGCGGTGATGAGTGAAGTCAGAGTCTTCGAGCGCACAGCGAAGCTCTCCGAATCATTCATGACCGCAGTCACCATCTTGCTGCACAAAAAGGGAGACAGGGACAACATTGGCAATTACAGACCAGTCACGTTGCTGAGCTTTTTCTACAAACTGGTGGTGAAGGTGTTGGCGAATCGGATCAAGCTGGCCTTACCAAGGGTGATTTCAGAGAACCAATTTGGCTTCCTCCCAGGGAGAAGTCTGGCAGATGCTGTATCACTGGTGGCTGATGCGATTGATGCAGCAGAAGAGGAGGATGAGGACTGGCTGCTTCTTCTGGTTGACTTCCAGAAAGCCTATGATTCCGTCTCCCGAGGATACCTGTTTGGGACACTGGAGCGCATGGGCTTCCCGGACAAGTTTATCGCCTGGGTTAAGGGTTTACATGAAGGTGCTGCTACCAGATTACTACTCAACGGCTGGCTGGAGGAGTGCGTAGACATGGAGAAGGGAGTGCTGCAGGGTTGCCCGCTAGCCCCATACCTCTTCCTCTGCGCGGTCGAACCACTCTGCCAGGAGATCACAAGGAGGAAACGGGGGGTCAGGAAAAGGGGGATGAAAGGAGAACTCGCTTACAACGGCTATGCGGACGACACAACACTTATCCTGAAAGGGAAGGATCAGGTGGAGCGGGCAAAGAAGCTATTGGACGAGTTTGCGGAGATATCGGGGATGTGTGTGAACCGTGACAAGACGACGTTGATGCCGTTGGGGAAGAATCGGAGACGGTTGCAGCCTCTGGTGACGCCTTTCAAGTGGGTGGACAAGGACAAGGTGGAAAGGCTGTTGGGTATATGGATCACATCTGGAGGGTCGCCGGTGCCGACATGGGATAAAGCCTTTGAGAGCATAAATGCGGTGCTGAGTTGCTGGGAGACGAAACACCTCAAGACGACGGCGCGGGTCACCATTATAAACAGCTACGCAATGCCGATCCTGCTGTTTCAAGCGCAGATATATGCACCGCCGCACGACGTATGGACGAAGGTGAAGCGGCTCTGTCACAACTTCATATCAGGGGGAAAGGCGGTGCTGGATAGGCACTTCACTCTTTGGAGTTACGACCTGGGGACGGAAGGAGGGAGGACTGGGCGTTATTAACCTGAAGCAAAGGATTGACAGCGTGGTAATTCAAAAATTGGGGAAGGCACTGGCAGAGCAGGAGCCCCTGAGAAATTGGCTGTGGGAGAGAGCTGCTGGGTTCCCTCTCGAGCTGGCCACAATCTACGCACACCCCTCGATTTTGAAGTGCTGGCTGGGAGGAGGTACGAGGTGGAGATCAGCGGTGAAGTCTCTATGGGACTCAAAAGTGGTGGCTATTGGAGACCCTGCACACAGATGGGATGCGGAGGAAGAGCAGCTGCTATTTAATCGGAAGATTTTCTTCAGGGGAAAATCCCCTTTCGGCAATCGGGCTTGATCGCGCTGCCTAAAAGGTGTTCGGCTGGGCGATCTTGTGTACAAGTTGTGGGACAGAAGCAGAACCCTCAAGGATGCCTCTACCCTGGAGCGGGAATTGGGGGGAGAGGAGCAGAGAAAGTGGGCGATGAAGTCCTGGGAGGCAACACCGCAAAGCTGGAAGGACATGGTTCTCGCAAAACTGACTGCAGAGGAGATCTTCAGGGAGACAAATCTGCTTCGCTCACCGTCGTACCGGCCGGGGGAGCTGCTTTACTACAAACTGGAGCACACGAGTGACGGCGCGATCTACAGGAGAAGAGTGGCGGTGGACAAAAAAGGAAACGTCACCGAGGTGCAGTATGCGAGCGTGGTATCAGTTGGCTTCCTACGCGCCACCCCGATGGCGGTCATAGAGGGGAGAGTACGTGGCCCACTAAGAGAGCCAAGAACGCGCCTGCTGTACTCACCGATCTGCGACAAGGGGGAGCGTGCCGGGCTAAGGCGACTAAGGAAGCTGATGAACCCTCCCCCATCCCAACCTAAGCAGCAGCTGCAATGGGAGGAGACTTTGGGAAGGAAGATTGGCTGGGGGAAGGTCATCACGACCCGAGACTCGCTGGCAACTCCGGGCAGGGCACGGGAGATGATTCTGAGGCTACACAGCAATAACCTGCAAGTGGGGGAGAGACTGCCTTTCCTGGGTGCAAGGGCGAGGTGCCCGCACTGTGGGGAAGTTGAATCGCAAGACCACTGTCTGTACAGCTGCCCCAAAATACAGCCGGTGGTCAGGGTGATGAAGAGAGTGGTGCAATGCATGAATCCTGGAAGAGTAGTAGAGTCCCTCGGCAATATGCTCTTCCAAGAGAGCTGCACGTCAACTGGTTTTCCGGAGGCAACGTTCATCTCAACCACTGTGTCAAAATGTTATGCTCTAGCCTGTAGTGGGGTGCTCTATAGCGAGTACAACCCTTCTAGGGTTTGCTATTTGTATCCTCATTCTTGCTAGTGCAATCCTCTCTTTTTGCCTAAACTGTCTCTTGCCTAGCTAGGGCTTTCCTAGCTATGGCTCCTAATCCTACCGCTTATTTTCACATGGTATTAGAGCGATATGCTCCTGGCCTGTGGGCCCCACCTCACTGCTTCCGCTGCTACTGCTACTCCCTGTCCGCCGCGCGCCCCGTGGTGCGCGGCGTCGAAATTAGGGTTTTCAGCCCGCCGTGCGCCCCGAGGCGCACGACGGTTTTCTGCCCGCCGTGCGCCCCGAGGCGCGCGGCGGTTTTCTGCCCGCCGTGCGCCCCAAGGCGCGCGGCGGGTTTCTGCCCCGTCACGCCGCGCGTCGCTCCCGGGAGGCGCTGCGACGGGCGACGGGGACCCGCGCGTCGCCCCCCGTCGCCCGTCGTGGCCTGCGCGCGGCCTGTACGGCCTGCGCGCGGCCCGTACGGGTTGCGCCAGGCCCGCGCGCGGCCCGTACGGGCTGCGCCAGGCCCGCGCGCGGCTCGGGCCGCCTTCGCGCGGTTCGGGAGGCTGAGCCAGGCCCGTGGGCGGCCCGTTCCTTGCTGTCCCTGCCCTCCCCGCTGTCCCCCGTGCTTCTGATGGCGCCCCACCCCTCCTCCTGCCCGTTCTCCTGAATTAGGGGTTGGGGGTGGGGAGTATGGGGGTGCAGCTTCTGTGTGCCGTTCCCTGCTCCTCCTCCTCCTCCTCCTCCTCCTCCTCCTCCTCCTCCTCCGTCTCCCTGTGCTGCAGCTGCCGCTGAGGGGGGGTGGACCTGTTGGAGCCGTCGGAGTAGTACTAAGGGGAGGTGAAGGGGGAGTGGAGCTAGGGGTGAAGCAGGGGGTGTGTGTCAGGGGGGGTGGTACTGTTTGGGGGAGGTTGAACGGAGGTTGCCGTCGTGTCGCCAGCAGCACCTGTAGTCTGGGGAGTTGCTCCGGTAGCCCAGTCGTAGCCAGCTGTGCCAGCCGCCCGTGGGTCCGTTGCTCGTCTGCCGCTACTTTAGCCGCGGGGCCAGTTACTCCAGTATTCCAGAGCGTTGTTCCGGTAGCCGCTGTGCCAGTGTGCCTCTTGTTGCCCGTGTGTCTGCAGCTTCAGCCGTCGCCTCCTATCTCCTCTCCTCTCACTGTCCCTCCTCCTCCTCACTTGCCCGTTGTGACTACCACTAGCTTTGCTCATAATTGTGAACTTTAAACTATTGCTTCTTGAACTTGTGCTCAGAATGTGTGGTGACATTGTGATCCACCCTGAGCTTGTTCTGCTTTGCTTGCTCCGTTGATTACACCCCACTTTGGCTATGGGGGTGTGTCAGAATGTTATGCTCTAGCCTGTAGTGGGGTGCTCTATAGCGAGTACAACCCTTCTAGGGTTTGCTATTTGTATCCTTATTCTTGCTAGTGCAATCCTCTTTTTTTGCCTAAACAGTCTCTTGCCTAGCTAGGGCTTTCCTACCTATGGCTCCTAATCCTACCGCTTATTTTCACACACTGCGCACCAAGTCTGGTTGGAACGGTGCAACGCGGTTTTCAGGGGCAGTTGCTTCCAGCCAAAGAGGGTGTTACGGCGCATGGCGGTTAGTTTCACACGGCACGTGAAGATTTACAGCAAGGCCCGGAAAAGGTCGGCTTACAAAGGAGCTAAGGACAAATCAGGAGGCTGGGGTCATTTGGCTGTACCAATGCGAGGCGGGGGTCATGCGCAGACTGTACCAATGCGAGGCTTCAATGACGTGTAACGCCGGTTTTGAAGGCAATCTTGGAAGATAGAGGGGTGGCTTTTCGGCCCCCGTAGAAGCGAGGAGGGGGGGAGGGGGTTTTCTTCTCGCTATCAGCGGCGTCCTTTGTCCTCCTAGCATCAGTTACGACTGCGGATGTATGTATGCGTGTTGTGTACTTATATCCACCAAAAAAAAAAAAAAAAAAAAGCTGGTTCATGTACAGCACCTTGTCGAGTTAGGACTACCTACGACGGGTAGGAGGTAGGACTCCAGTTCTGCTTGAAGTACGACGAACTCTAGGGCGGGTAGGAGGTACCCATCGTTGAAGTTGTCCAGCTGGTTCATGTACAGCACCCTGTCGAGCTTGCTCTGCAGGAAGGCGTTCTTCATGTCCAGCTGCATTAGGTTGAGGTCGAGGACGGCGACGATGCTGAGGAAGATCCTCAGCGTGACGTAGCTGCTCACCGGCTTGTACGTCGCGTCGTAGTCGGCGCCATACATTTGTGTGAAGCCTTTCACGACCAGCCTCGCCTTCTCGCGCTTGACGGTGTCGTCAGTGCGGTACTTCGTTGTCAGCACCCACCGGTTCTTCATGATGTTCACCCCAGGTGGGCATAGCAACTCACAAGTTCCCATGCTGATGAGGCTGCGTTCACCGCCTTGCCCTTTTAGCTTGCCAACGCCTCCTTCATCGTCATCATGGAGATGTCCCAGCGGTGCTCGGGGTCGGCGTGCATCTCGGGGTCGAGCTCCGGCAGTTCCTCATCCTCCTCGGCGTCGTCGTACAGCAAGTCGTCGTCGACCTCGTCGTACGCCATGGTGAAGGCAGCCGGTACATAGAAGTCGAGCGGCCTCCGAAGTCGGCCTGTACGCCGTGGTCCAGGCTGAGCCTCCTCGGCATCCCCTCCATCATCACCGGCGTCGCTGCCATTAGCGTCCTGCTGCACCTTAGTCAGCGTTTCAGCCAACTTCTCCCCTAAGGTCGGCTCCCCTGCCGAGTGCCCGTCGTGGACTGCCCCTTGGTCGGCTTCACTGCTGCATGCTCTCTTGTTAGCTGCTGCCTTGCCGATGCCTCCTTCGCCCGCTCCACCAAAGTCAGCTGCACTTCCTCGGTCTACGTCTCCCCTTTGGGCGTTGACGCCGCTCCCACGCCGACTTGCTTGGCGTTGCGTCGGCTACCGGAGATGTTCTTGGCCGGCGCCGCGGGCGACGTCACCTTGCTCCCCTCATTGCCGGAGGCCGACACCGGAGTCAGGCCATGCAGGTTGGCTACAAGGGGAGGGGTAGGAGGGGCAGGGGAGGGGGAGGAAGGGTGGACGTCCTTGGTGTCTGCAGCAGCAAAGGGAGCGTTGCCGTCGAAGTGTTCATCAGCGGGTTGACCGGCGTCCGCCCTGACGCCGGGCCGTGCTCCGACTTCCACACCTCCAGCGACATCGTCTCGTAGAATACCACGTCCGACATGATGACCACCCGGTTGTCGGTGATGTCCAGGAGTTCCCAACCTTTGCTCACCTATGACATGCTGAGATGAAGGCCCCATTTGGCCTTCGACTTCAGCTTCCCACCGCGCTGCTGCTTGGGGACGAGGAACTGCACCATGCAGCCCCACACGCGTACTATCAACAAGTCGGCCTTCTTCCCGGTGAGCAGCTGGTATGGTGTCATCTCCGGTGGCAGCGTCCACCTCTCAAGGCAGTTGCGAACCTAGATGGCCTGCCACAGAGCGAGGTGCCACCAGTGGTGCTGTACGCCCATATGCAGTAGCATCGTCCGCACCGACTCCACCATCGTCCGCATCTCCTGCTCTGCCATGCCGTTTTGCTGCGGGGTGTAGGGGCAGGTTAGGTCGTGAACGATCCCCTTGCTGACCACAAAGGCGGTGAACTCCTTGCCAAGGAACTCCCCGCCTCGGTCAGAGCACAGCATCACCACCGGCTTCTTCGCCTGCCTCTCCACCAACACCAGCCACTTATGGAATTCTAGCAGCACGTCCGAC